CACGCCAATCCACAAGGGACCCATTCGGAGATTTGAGATGCCGTTTTGGGAGAGGATATTCCGTTATGTAAGACCAAAAGCTCTCCCACTCTGCCTCCGCATAGCGAGAAAAACGTTCTATGAAACAGTAAATCAAGGGATGTCATAGGTTTGGAGTCAATCTGGGCACTGTCTAGGGAAAAGTCTGACGTGTCAATGGAAGGTAAAATTTTTCTGAGGGCAGGATGTCAAAGAAGGATGTTAGAAAAATTCGATGAGGTTTGTCTGCTGTCCCGTCGCATCCGGGACTCGGGTGAGTCCTCAGTGATCTCGGTTACTTTATATGCGATTGGGAAATGACGAACCTTGAAGTCATCGCATCAATGTTGTCCAAGAGAATTTCGGTAAGGATAATGTCAATCTTCTCTGATATCCAATCGAAGATTACCGACCTTTCATTCTGAGGACGCTACAGAAAAGACGAATATGGCACAATGGATAAGTGCCATACGGAATCACATATACCTGAAATCTGGGTACTCGTTTTTCTGTCCCTGTCACAGGGAAACCCATCCAAGACCATGAGCAAGACGATTTAGGTAGTTCTATTTAGTTATAATGAGTTGCTGGAATTTTGAGTGCCTGCAATGGTATAGAGACATTGATACGTGTTTCAAAGAGGTCAGGTTTAGAGTGAAGAAGACTGAGTTCCACTTCAAGAAAATTGGAACGTAGACCCCTTAATATTGGTGTAAGAGATGGTAGAACTGGATTCTAATATTTTTACGTTAGGTTTCCTAGTTTTGTTTGTTTTAAGTAACGGGTATATTGTACTGCCATTTTGTGGTTGATTTCTGGACCATGCAATAGTTTCAAGGGGGGGGCTCTCGATACCGTGATGACTGGTTCTGGTACGACAGTATCTCCGGGGGAGTAAACTCAGGTTATTTATAAGTGTATCTCCAATGTGTGTCTGTTTCACTGGCTACTAGTCATCTATCTCAGCAACTCAAATAGATAAGAATGCAAATTAAACTGAAAACGAACAAAACTAGCAAACCCAACTACAAAATATCAGAATATTGTTACCTCTATCACTGATAGTGTACGCTTTCCGATAATTACCGCATATATATATATATATATATATATATATATATATATATATATATATATTGCATATATTTATATACAGGCAAATTTCACACATATATATATATATATATATATATATATATATATATATATAGAGAGAGAGAGAGAGAAAGAGAGAGAGAGAGAAAGAGACAGACAGACAAACAAACCTACAAAGGTTTGCCCTAAGCGGATCATCAGGGAAGGCTTGCCAGGTCTGCTCTACTTACGGTATTGAGCACTTTATTTAGGTTTTTTTTTTTGGGGGGGTTGCGTAGTCGTATCGTTTTTTTTTTTCTTTGGGCGTTGGACTTGCATGCTAGACGATTATTTTCGGCTAACGTACATGTTCTTGGTTCTTATTTTATACCTTATTTTTTTCCCTTTGTTATTGGTTTGATTATTTGCAAATCAAAACATCGAAGATTTTCCGGACGAGTATAATTTCTTATACTTATAAGATTATTACTAGTAATATATATATATATATATATATATATATATATATATATATATATATATATATATATATATATATATATATGTATAGTTAGCTTATGAAAAATTAGGTAATCCGTATGGGAACATTAAAGTAGTCTGTTTTATTTAAATTATATATATATATATATATATATATATATATATATATATATATATATATATATATATATATATATATATATATATATATATATATATGTATGTATGTATATATATATGTGTATATATGTATGTATGTGTGTATATATGTATGTATGTGTATATATATGTGTATATATATGTATGTATATATATGTATATATGTATGTGTATATATATATATATATATATATGTATATATGTATGTATATATATATATATGTATGTATGTGTATATATATGTATGTATGTATATATATATATGTATGTATGTATATATATATATATGTATGTATATATATATATATATATATATGTATATATATATATATATATATATATATATATATATATATATATATATATATATATATATATATATATATATATATATATATATATATATATATATTCATTCTATGTATTTTCCTTCATGTATTTAAAGAAAATAAATTAAAATGGTAACATGAAAGAGTCAAAACTATAAAGACTGTCGAAAACATGTAGAAAATCGTTTTGCCCAAATTCAAATCTCATCGTCTCCAACTTCCGCCTAATAATTTTATATCAGTTTTCAGTTGTGCGATAACGAGACCGTGAACATTGTTATAATTTTAATCTTCCTAATAGTATTGAGAAATATATTTAAAAATGCTGAGCGAGAAATTCAGTTTTATTTCCATCATTGATACTGTTAAGCCATACTGTATCTCGTCTGAATACATACACAACAATGACAGATGTATGAAGCGTATGAGACATTTATGAGAGTTTCCTGTATAAAAAAAATATGTGGAAAGTCATAAAATTAATGGTCTACACGGCTATTGTACTGGCGATCCTTCTCTATCGATCTATCGAATCAAATCTCGGGGCATATACAAAAATCTTATCCGCTTACGTCAGTGCTTCCATCAAGTAGTCTGTACAACATTATTTATATACAATGGATTCACTTCAGAGTTGTAGTCAGTTCAGGTATATATAAAAAGTAATTTTCAATTGACAGGCTCTTAATCAAGAAAGAATAACTAGCGGCTAACGATGGGCATCCTGTGTGGAGTGCAAAAACCTATTGGAAAAGAAGGACACTGTACATGAGAGAAAAGTATCTGTAAAAACGATATTCAACTCATTTGGAAGGAAAGACACATCATGGAAAATAGAAGCGGTACGAAAGGAAAGCTTGTCCTGCAATCTTAGTTTATGATGCAAATAGCAAAACAACTTTAGAAGAGAAAAGGAAGCACTACCAGATGGAACCGTCATTCAAATCATAGATAGTCTCCTGCAGTTGACGTCGGGATGTCCACTTCGCACCCACATAACCAATCCTTGCCAGGAGATAGCACAACGGAACTGATGGAAACCAACCGACCGGGATATTCGTCCTAATTCTTCAGATATTCATTTTCATACAATAGGGTGACAAATTTTTCCAGGCTTAAAAACTTACACATTATTCTTCTTTTTTTTATTTTTGCACATATGTTTTTCAGGGGCCAGATTTAAGTTGGTATAAGACGATGGAGAGAGGCGGAGGAGGAAGACGATAGATATATGATCGAAACTAGAGAGGGAAAGGAGAGGTAAGAAGAGGTTCATATTTATCTTTATTAAGATAAGAGACCAGACATGTTCACCTATTTACACAGAAAATAAAATAGAGGAAATTAGATAGAGAAGGTGAAGGAAAAAAAGAGAAAAGACAGAATAGAAGACACAGAGAGAAAGATGGGTGAAGTGGGAAGAACAAATTAGGCTTGACTCTAGCGAAATTTAACAATACAGATTAATACAATTTACAATTAAAACACTTGACATTATTTAAAAAATAACAACAATAACAAAAAATATAAAAATCACATTAAATTTATAATATCAATAACAACTAATAATTAAATATTAAAATTTAAAAATGTTTAAAAAAAAAAGCAAAACAAATTATAATCCCATAAAACCTTAAAGTTTCTGTTACTTAATATAAATACTATTTGTTCTGTTTTTACACTTAGCTCTTTGGATTACAACCTTCTTGGAATTATTGATACGGATTAACAAATAGCGTGATTATCTATCTATCTATCTATCTATCTATCTATCTATCTATCTATCTATCTATATATATATATATATATATATATATATATATATATATATTTGAAAACATGAAAACATTGAAAAAAATTTTTTGAAAGCAATCCACCTTTAACCAAAAAAAACAAACAAAACATTTGTTTGACCTTAAATGATTTCATAAAGATTGATAGGTCGTTAATCATTAAACGAACAAACAAACTATATATTTGAAGGATATTCAGAAGTATGTGGAGGATGTGTTTGAAGCCAATAGCGATGAAATTCAAGAAATTTACTGTTTCGTCTAATCAAGAGCAATTTAAGTAATGTTGGGAAATATATCTGTTATAATGAGATGTCAATGTTATTTCATTTTTATAATTTAGACGGCTTTTTATCCATTGCACCCTGTGTGTGTGATATATATATATATATATATATATATATATATATATATATATATATATATATATATATATATTTATAATGTATTTGTTTATTTGGATTTGTTTTAGTGTATATATTATATTTTATCTTCATATTATAAAATATTATATATACACTAAAAGAAACCACATTATAAAAAAAACGTTTGAGGTTTTAGTTTTTTTTAAGAATAGATATTTTTCTCTTTGGAAAAAATTATTTCATTTTCCTGTGTATATATATATATATATATATATATATATATATATATATATATGTGTGTGTGTGTGTGTGTGTGTGTGTGTGTATTTGTGCCTGTGTGTATATATATATATATATATATATATATATATATATATATATAGATAGATAGATAGATAGATAGATAGATAGTGCTGTGGATTCCGGGAGTAAATCCTGTCTCCAATGAATGACAAACGCATGAATAAAATAGGACAAATAAATGACTCTAACACAATAATACAATTGGTAATACGTTTAGTAAATACAGAAACGCAGTTAGTAGCAATAATAATAATAATAGATATACATATATATATAATCTGGCAAATTCAGTCTCGAAGTAGGACTTTCTTTAGAGTCTACATGTATGTTGACTTCTAGAAGCGGTTACGTCACACTATTACTCTAGCTCCAACTCAATCACAATCTCAATCTCTCAATGTCTACTCTAACTGATTCTGGGTATTTAACGCCAGCAGTCCAAGTAATACTGGTCGAGTTCACTTGTATGAAAAAGGGGTGGAGCCCATAACAGATAGATAGATAGATAGATAGATAGATATTTGGATATTTGTTTGAAGAATAGGAGTCTCTTTCTATTGATATATTTTTTAGTCTTCTTTTTTTGATCTTTTGTTATGAATGCTTGAAATGTAAAGATGCATAAACCGTTATTCTTTTTTCGTGAAAGTCTCACAACTCTCATGCAATGTCAAATATAATATCACAAAAATATTATACAAATATACAATATGAAATAAACAGAATATCTTTCAAGCGAGAAAGTTTTATCATAAATATTTTAGCAACAACGCAAAGACTGTTTCAAATATGACTTAAACATAATACAAAAAAAAAGAAACAGAATTCGTATCATAAAAAAAAAAATTATGAATATTCGTGACTTTTATAGTCAACTTATGAAATATAAAAACTATTTATAGAACATTATTATATCTTTAACAGAGTAACAGTCACAACTACTTACAACTTACGTATGTAATCAAAGACATTCTACCGTGATTTGACTGAGAATGACAAACATGGTTAAGTGTGACCAAAATAAGACGCAATTTCAAATGGAACGTTTCTCGCAGAGCTCCGATTTTTTGAATTACCATCGCTCTTCGGCAATATTTATTGTTTTAAAAACCAACGATCAGGATAGGAATAAAACCCAAATATGATGAAATTGAACTTATACATTTTCTTTCTTGAGAATTTACGACAAAAATGTTTAACGCTATTTATTTATTGACTAGATTATTTATTTACAAGAATAATATTATATTTACAATATATAACGGAAAGAATGAAATATTTATCATTGAATTCAGCTATTTCAACAGTAAACGTGTGTGAATTCGATGCCAATCTAGTAGCATGCTTAAATACTTGTACAGGATGTTGCATCAAAATCCGACACTTGAAAAAAAGAAAACGAAATAGGAAATAAAAACAAAGGTTGTATATGTAGATACCCAACAGTTTACTTTAGCAACAGCTAGAGGTACATGCTACATTATTTCTCAATGTAACCGCCACTGGCGGCGACGAACATCTCAAGGCGGGCGCGAAATGATAAACACGCTTTGGCGACCATGTTCTTGTCCATAGTGGCGAACGCCTACACAATGACAGCCCTCAGAGAGTCGACCGTGTTGTGAGCGTGCTTGTTGGTCTTGGCCTCGATAACACCACAGAAGAAAGAGGCAAGTGGGTTGCAGTCAGGTGAGAAGGGCGACCACAAGTCCGGCGACCAATGGTGAGGAACATTGTTGAGCAGCCACGCCTGCGTCGTCTTGGCCTTTTGAGTAGGGAGGGGTCCGGCCGGAAGACATAGGGATGTTCGTCGGCGTTCTAATCCATCCAGACCTTCAACACTCTTTAGCACATCCTGGTAGATATCATCCGTGACTCTCAGGCCCCCTTAAAAGAAGAACGGAGTCATGACGTCGCCCACACTGTACACAAAGCCAAGACGAACCAGGTGTGGCTGCTCAACAATGTCCCTCAACACTTGTTGCCGGATTTGTGGCCGCCCTCCTCACCTGACGGCAACCTCCTTGACAATGTCTTCTGGGGCGTGACCGTGGCCAAGACCAAAAAGCACGCCCACAACACACTGCTATGAAGATTTTCGCGAAAGCGTGTAACGCATTTCGCGCCCACCTTGAGATGGTCGTCGCCGCCGGACGTTGTTACATTGAAAAATAAAGTATGTAACTCTAACTGTTGCTAAATAAACTGTCGGGTCTCTGCACATAAAACTCTGTTTTATTGCCTATTTCGTTCTCTTTTTCTCAAGTGTCGAATTTTGATGCAACATCCTGTAGTTGGGGTACCAGTGACAAACTCTGGTCAGAAGAGTTGCTATGAAGATATTTGTAGAAAACACAGAGGAAGCCATTTTGAGAAAGTGACTGAAGTCGAAATGCCAAGATAGGATCGATTACATTACAGATCCTTCTTAGGTTTTTGTCAAGAACCTCGCGATAAATATCAGGTGAACCAGTGCCGACGTCCTCGAGGGAGACAGCACATAGAAGATGACGAAGTGATACTAAATAGTGTATACATTGAGATATAATGTATTAGATATAAAGCAAGATTGAGATACATTCTGATATTTCTAAGAAAGATATCCATGGTATCAAACCCGTTTCGAAATATCTCAAATCTTAGCTAAATACAAACATTTTCACGAATAAATGATTTCAACTGTTTTACCACAATGAATCGTATGCGTCTTAAATAAAAGAATACTTCGTCATCTATTGGATGCTTTAGTACACATCATCAGTCATGTTTCTTGCCGATTTTCATTAGGGATTTCGGGTCTTTCAACATCATGACCCCCCTCTCTACGATGGCCCACCCGATAGTGATCGGGTATCGATATGTATACCTTCTTTCAGCTACAATCTTCCAAACTACACACCATGCAACTCTTCTTGGCAATTTATTGTTCAATCCTGGATGATTCTGGTTCACCAGCAATGAGCGCTCTTCCATAAAAAGGTAGCAAACGCAGCCACGATTTCCAACTGATCAGGAATATGGCGGTGTGCATGGCCTGAAGTACTATGTACCAATTTGAATCCCCTCACTTAGACACACACAAACACAGAGGGAGAAACGCGCTCAAGCCTCAGATTCTATCACACTTATTCCATTTTATTCATGTTAATCATCTGCCGAAGAAAGAAAAACAAAAATAATGTTATAGAGTAGTTTCACAGTGGAGGCTAAAAAGGTTCGACGGATAAAACGTTAGGAACTTGATATACAGTGTAACCCGGATATAAAAGAGTTGTCGGGACCGGAGAAGAGGTCTCTTACATCCGGGTTTCTCTTATATCCGGGTTTGGTCTATTTTGTTTACATTAACACAGGCTCTAATTTGGGACCAGATAAAATCTCTTATATCCGGGTTTCTCTTATATCAGGGTCTCTTATATCCGGGTTACACTGTAATAGTTAATGACGCAGCAATCTAGTTATGGTGGCTGATACTTTAATGTCCGACATTGACTGACTGACCAACTCACTGAAGATATTCAGTTACCCCCCCACACACACACACTGGGGCATCATGTGACACAAGGTCGGTTATTTATTGTGGGTTCTCCGAGCCCGTGGGATCGGCTTAAAATATGCCCTTTGAACCCGTATAAACGGGCTCAGGGCCGGTTTACCTCCCCGAACGAGACTCCGCCCTTCGGCGTAGCCTCATTCGGGTTCCTCCCCGCCTGAAGGCAGAGAGTTCAACCGGTCAGCCGGTCGTCCGACTTCAGACTGAACTCAGACCAACTCACTGAGGGACTGGAGACTGCTACTACTACTTATTATAGCGTTTGAGAATAAATGCGTGCGAAAACTCGTTGGTGTCTTCTATTGAGAACATCCAACCAATGAGTTTGTGCGGAAAATGGTTAAAGGATTTGTGGGCCACCAGGAAATTCTTGTCACCACTTTCACATGAAGAAATATTGCGTGGTTTTGACAGATTAAACGGCACGACACCCTATGCAAGACCATCATGCAAGCCACCTTTGAAGTTGGACGTAGGAGAAGACATCAACGTAAAATCTGTTTTTACAATGTCAAACAAATGACAGGCATGACTATTCCAGAACTGATGATGTTTGCCGTTGACAGACCGTTGTGCAGGAGATTTAGTGTCGCTTCTGTATTCGGACTCAAAAATTCAAGGAGATGATGATGATGATGATGATATATAAATATCTAGTGCAGTTGCACTATTTCAGTTTACGAAGTCAATAAAAAAAAGAAATAGAAAAAAAATTACTAATAAGTTGATGTCAAATATTATTTTTTTAGAGATATTTAAGAAATGAATTTTGCGAATTAAATTATATTTTTAAATAAATCCAATGTAATATCTTACCTAAGGAGAAGAGATTATTGGTTCTTCGAGATTTCAAGTTAGGAAGATTAACCGGATATGTTTTATTTATTTGCTATTTGATTGTGTCATAAATAATTATTTTTTTCTTTATCAATAATATTCATGAGGACATCATGTTCAACTACATTCTATTTAGCTAAATCTTTACCATTATTTGCAATCATCAGACCGCTTTTCGATACGTTTCTAATGTGAAAACGTTTTCGACGAACTCTTAATCCTGCTTTTGCAGAGATAAAAACGTCTAATATTCACTTAGAGATATGCCCGGTGAATATGGATTGTATGGTAGAAAAGAATATCATAAAAAGCGTTGGCTGAAGTTATCCACTGACATGACCCAAAGAGTTGTGAGTTCAATACCTGGCCACAGAAAGAGTTGAGTTACGAAAGGGAAAGAATTGAAACTGAAATATCTAGAAAAGGCATGGCAAGTGGAACTAAACCAATCTACCCCGGTGGAAGACATAAAGACTTTGTTTTGAATTTCCCAAATATATCAGCTAAAGAATGTCGCAGGGTACCATAGTCAACCCGTCGTGAATATGACAATAAAGATGAGGAAAAAATAGTCCGAACAATATAAATAATGTAAATAATTACAATAACTCATCTGCGAAATATAGACAGAAAAACGAGATCATTCCAAAATGTCTTCCTATGTTGATCTTCTATAAGCCATTGTGTCGGCATAGGAAACAACACCTATTTTATTATCCACGGTTTAGGCTGCTACTGTCGTGCAAGAATAAATGTATGTTACTGTACGCTAAATCTTTAATTAACTGTCAAGAATGATTATTAGTTAGGAAGATACATTCGTCAGGACAATTGGTTGCGTTAAATAGGAATTGCGTATGGTTGAACCTCTTATACGTACATATATATGTACGCGGCTGTGCATACGCGTGCTTGTGTTTGTGTCCCCGTTGGACAGCTTTCATCTGACAACTATACACTTAGAAACCCAGTTGCCAGTAAACAGCATATGTATCAAACCACCTGCTTATATAAAAAAAAAACATAAACTTGTGTACGTATAAAATAATAATCAAAAAGCAATTAAACACACGTACTAAGTAATAAAAGCTACATGCGTTCTGTGAATGTCGTACACACGCGTGTGCACGAATATTCGCGCATGCGCAAAAGAAACCCATGATGGAGAATGTGGCACTCTCACTGCAGGAGAAGAGTTGGTCTGAAATTGTAGACGGTGGGCGTGCAATCAAAGATGCCAGCTTCAATTCTTGAAAGCTTTTACGTCCCGTACGGCTAACAAGTAGATAAGTGCTACTTTTATCGTCGTCATCCTCTTGGTCTTAGCGCCAACAGGAAATCAATAATACCGATGATATTAGAAAAGCGTTGCTATTTCTGTACACAAATAGAGCGTCGAGTACTTGTGAAAGACAGAGAGACGACTCGATGGACAGACAGAGCTAGAGGCAGACGAGAAATAAAGAAATGAAGAGGTAAAACACGATCGTGTAAGGCAATAGGCTCCCCCACCTAGTTTATGCTGCCTTTGTTTTACTTTCTTCCTTTTTTTACTTTCTTTGCAATTTAACTAATTTCGTTTCTGTTAAGCAGGCATGCAGGTATTCACATTCATAAAATATTGGAAAGAAAGGTTGAAAGAAATTAAACACAGACTGGAAAATAATAATAATAATAATAATAATAATAATAATAATAATACAACGAAAAGACAAAGAAAGGAGAAACGTATGTAATAAGTTGAAGAGGATGTAAGAATAGAATACAAGAAGAAAGAAAAAGAAGATAAAAAGGAAGAGGAGAGAATAGAAAATGAAAAACGAAATTTAAAAAGATTCAGATGAAAAAAAAAGCAGGAAGAAAAATTCTAAAACTATAGATGGTGAAAAAGCTAAATATGTATGTTCATATATATATATATATATATATATATATATATATATATATATATGTATATCCACAACAATTTTTTTTTTATATATATATATATATATATATATATATATATATATATATATATATATATGAAAATATATAGAAAATAGGAAGGAACTGGTTAGGTAAATAAACCAAAGTCCCTTAGTATTTTAGTTATTATTTTTAAAAATAGTCCTCGATACAAAAGTAGAGCATAAATATAATTATTTATTTAAAAATATGATTCCAAAACGATATATATATATATATATATATATATGTGTGTGTGTGTGTGTGTGTGTGTGTGAATGCAGAAGATTCAGATATAATTACAATAAATCTATGAAGCAAGACAGTATGAATAAAGTCAAAATATATACTTTTGTCTCAAGGCAATATTTTTTCTTCTTTATGTGTCGTGTACCTTCAATGTGTAACGGTCAAGTCCCTCCACATTTTCATATCCCTTCTAACCCTTAAGACGATCTGTCTTCCAGGTATTGCGCCAAAATTTCGTTCTATCATCCATTTACTCAAGAACATGAAGTATGTGAGGCAAAGTCCCTCTTTCTCTCAATCGGTCCTGCGAATATCAGATATCCCAAGGTTTTCATAAAGTCAAAACTGTCTTCTGATTGCGGCCATTTCTCCTATGACCAAATCTTGTATCAAGACATACACAACTTCATAGATTTTATTTGACCTCCATTTTTCTCTCAATTTTTTTCTTTTTTCATTTTCTTTCCCTTCTTCTTTACTCTGTATGGCCATTTTATTTCAGTAATTTATCATCGAAGATATATATATATATATATATATATATAGATAGATAGATAGATAGATAGATAGAAAGAGAGTGAGAGAGAGGAGAGAGAGAGTCTCTGTGTGTGTGTGTGTGTGTGTGTGTGTGTGAGTCTGTAAAACAACTTTCGTTACAGATAACTAACACCAAAACAGGGAAAATAGTTTTAGATAAAAAGTTAAAGAGAGACTAGCCACAAATGTAAACGAATGACAAATGCAACCCACTGTCCATGCCAACATATCTGCATCTACCGTAAACTTTGCCCTTATTATGGGGCTAGGAACCTGCCAACAAAGTTTGTCAAAACATTTTTGATACACCACACGTTATATATATATATATATATATATATATATATATATATATATATATATATATATATATTAGTGCATGTTTCATTAAATAATATAGAGAAGTTTTGTTTATTTATTTTAAGCAAATTCTTTTCATTTTGTTTGAGAAGCTTAATAACATTATCATTGATAGAAGAAAGAAAATTAACATATCGATACATGTTTTTTCTGCTTATATAAGCCATCATCAGAGATGACCATTACCTAACAATAAATCAAACAATAAAATAAAAAAGTAAGATATTTACAGATTTAAAAAAAATACATCTGCCTAAAATATTTTAATGATATCCTTATGCTAGTTAAATTACAGATGAAATACTTCAACTTCAAAAACATTTCCAAAATAATTATGTCCTTAAATTCAAGTATGAACTCAATACTACTAATAAAATTCCCTTCCTTGATATATTGATAAACACAAATAATAACTAACTTACTATTTCGCCATATAAAAAGAAGTACCAGCATGAGTTCGTGTACACTTAACTACAAGAGTGGATATTACTACAAAATAGCAATTATAAAAAATCTAATACATCGTGCAGAAACTATTCATCCATCTTTTCATTCACAAAATAGACTTTTTACAGTGAAGAAAAGAATATAAAGGAAACAATTATTTATTTAAAGTTTCACAAATTATATAGTTGATGAACAAATAAGATGCTTTCTTAGAAGTCTCAATTCTAAGCAAATAGTACATAATACTGCTTCAACTAATCCCAGACTTATTAATCTCCTATATCTTAATCAAATGCATACTAATTATAAACAGGATGAAAATATACTAAAAAAATTGGTAAGTACTAATATATCTACAACAGATTCTAGCAAATCATTAAGTTAATTATATACTACACTAAAACTAGTATATCCAACTGATATATTTGCAATCATTCTTCCCATCATCCCCGTTAGCGATTTGCAAAACACTAAAATAGTTTACAAATTCAATTGCCCTCTAGGAGATTGTATCTCCAAAGGATTAAATAATATTTCACGCTTTCACGACTCTTGGCTCTACATTTGAAAAACAATTCTAATAATTTTAATAATTTAAAACAACATGCCTGTCCGCATACACATTTCTGGAATATACTTGTTGAAAACACATCTATACTTAAACATGAAAAAAATAAACCAAAAGTAAAAAATTCTTGAAGCTATATACATAAAACAGTTGAAACCTAACCTGAACAAAATAAACGTGGACAACAAATATATTTAAATGCTATAATTTATAACAGAAGTCATTGGTTTACACCAACGGCTTCCCATACTTAACACTTCCTGTTTTCACTCTCGCGTTTTCGCTTCCTGTGGCGTGTATGCACGAGTTTGTCGTTGCTTGGAAATCTTCCAAGCAAACAAAACAGACTATCAATATTGCAACGGCCGTGTATTGCTTAATTTATTGTAATGTACTTTTCATCTCCGCTGATGGTTTATGTAAGCCGAAAGCTTAGATAGGATTAAAAAAAACATGTATCAATATGGTGATTTGATTTCGTCTTTCAATGATAATGTTATTGGGCTTATCAGACGAGATGAATGTAATTTGCTTAAAAAAAAGAAAACTAGTCTATATTATTTAATGAAACATGCATTAATGAAAAAATGCTGCCTAAATACACACAATCTATATATACTTATACGAATATATATATATATATATATGTGTGTGTGTGTGTGTGTGTGTGTGTATATATATATATATATATGTGTGTGTGTGTGCGTATAGATATATATATATATATATTTATTGACAATCGTGTATTAGACATTAAATTGCTGCAATCATCGTTCTCATAGTTTACATTTACTGAAGGAATTTACTGCCGTTTAGAAAAATATCATCATATTTACTTCAGTGGTTGACACGCGTAATTAAAGTTAATTTTTCTTTTTTATATATATATATATATATATATATATATATATATATATATATATATATATAATATAGAGTTTATGAAAAACTAGGTAATCTGCATGGGTAAGCCCATGGAGGATAAAATCAGAGAGCTCAATTTAAATCCTGAGCAAATAAAATGACGATAGTGAAATAATTTATTACATGGAACCTTAAAATGGTCTGTTTTTATTTAAATTATATATATATATATATATATATATATATATATATATATATATATAATATGTTAAAGATATCCGTAAAAGGACAACAGTATCGGAGTTTTGTAATATACATATATATATATATATATATATATATATATATATATATATATATATTATTTTTTAATTTTATAATTTTATTTTTAGTTTTATATTTATTATTTTTAACCATATTTTAAGTATGTTTTATATATTTTTATATTTATTCTTCCTATTTTTCTTCTATAAATATTTAATATTATTATTTATTTCATTTTTTTACATTTTTTACATGTTCTTTTTTTTACATATTTTTTATAATTACTTCATAATTAGTCATTACCATTTCCTATAATTTTTATAGAACGTTGCCCCCCTTTCTTTCGCTATCCCTTTACGCTTAATTTGTAACGACAAATAACGTATAAACAGAAAATATATTAAAATATTTCTATGTCTGTATGTGAGCGCGTGTGTACTTTTGAATGCGTGTGTATTTTCTTTAAAATAGATTTATTATCTTAATGTCGTTTTCATATACTGATATCTATCTTTCTACTAAGCCATTAACGCCTTTGTTCTTTAGATTCTAATTTTTCTCTGATTTTTCCCTTCATAATTTATCTAATAATTTACCGCGTTTTTATGTCTTTTTTTTAATCCTATTTAATCTTGAATTACTTTCTTTACACTTAATTTATTCATTATATTTTCTTTAAATTCTCCGCTGATTTGCATGTTATGGCTGTATTTAATCTTCCGTCTTCCTTTATCTCTAAGTTCTCTTAATATATTTTGGCGTATATTTAAATTAATTTCCTCTTTTCTCTTTCTCTTTATTGTCTTTTATAAACGCCATTGGTTTTCGATTTTATTTTCTGTTTATTATCTTTGTTTGTATTTCTTTAATGGGCGTTCTTGTTTTTCTTCCAGTTTGCTCTTTTCTTTCTTTCATTTTTCCTTT